ATTTTTAAACATCAATATGCTTATATCAGTAAATTAGAGTTATGCACTTACTAAGTACAATTAATGTGTTAACTATAGCTTATGTAAAATGATCGTTCAATTTATTAATAATATAAGGTATGCGAAATAAAACATAGTACCGTATATCCCATTTAGTTTGTGAAAATACGAAAAATAATTTTAAACAATGAAATTAATTTATTTCACCTTCATTTAATTATTTGTTTCTTACTAGAATTTAATTTAAAGGGAGTTTATACACATTTGCGTCATTTTGGTGTTAATGAAGATAAACCTACCCTAAGCTAAATATTCAAACTGGAAAACCGCCGGAAACGAATTCCCTAGAAGGTTAATTTTGTCGTCACCACCGTGTTGTCATTGTTGCCACAAAAACAGCTGATAAAACCGCATCGTTGCAACAATATACCACGTCAGGGAGCGGTCTACGGGAATTACCAATGGTTGGAAGTCTGTAATTACCTTTTGTGTTTAAAATATAGTTTATAACCATCTAAATTTAGTTGTATGTAGTTAAATATTAAACTAAACCTTTAAGATATATCATAACCAATATTTCAATGAGTTTTATTGATAATTATTAAATACATTGAAAGAATTTACATTAACATGTCTACCACACAATGCTGTCCTACCAGAATATATGTTAGGTTGTAGCAAAATGATCTCTCATAAATAATAATAAAAAAAATGTAAACGACGTTTTGGAAATTTAAATCTATTCCTGTCCTCAGGTTGGAAAGAACCCAAAATTACCCAAAGGTTAGTACACAGGTTCTTCCATTAATGAATTATCACGAAAAAACCCTGAGACAAGGACAGTGCAATAATGAAAACAAGAAACAAAAGCCTAAAACTGAGCAATCGTTAGTACAAACAGAGCATAAACAAATAGTCTGAAGGGAAGAAATAATAAAGACAAAGAAAATTTTAGAAATAGATTCTTTGATTGTAATCACCAAATAAGATTGCAAGTTTGATTCTGTATACACAAACCAATAGTTTCAAATATGCATAGTCCATTCAAACACATTTGGCTTATAAACAAAAGATAGTTTAAGTTTTTTATCACAAAAATACAGAATTCAACACAGTAAAGTTTTAGCAAAAAGACAATTCCTAAATCACAGTAAGATTTACAGCATGAAAACTCAAACTCATCAGAAGAATCAGTGGTTTTAACTGATGACTTTGCTGCACAAAGGAACGTTCTCACTGATGTGGAATTTCATTACGTCCCAGACGACTGAACTGTTGACCCTTCTCAGGCTAATATTTCTACATACTCTATAACTACCACACTATAACTACCTTATCTAATATGAAGAACATATTTTTTTGTCAGGTGTATGCTGGACAAAGGATGAAAAAGTTTCAAATCTCTAAGTGGAGGTTGGTGGATTGGTTGTTTTTCGGTGGAACAGACATTTAAACTTTAAAGAGAGAAAACATGAGGAACAAACCTAATGAATTGCTAAAATATTTCATAGTTTGACAGCGAACACCAACTATGTAATACATATGAAATAGATCACCTGTCTCACTTTGTCGTTGAATAATTCATTGACAAACCAATTTAAATTCAAACGTTTGATTGATGTTGGTAAAACATATGCGGTGTTTATAATTTAATGTAAAAAATCAAAGCTTTGATAAGTGCAATTTTCTTTAAATAATACGCTATAATTGTAGGAAAGTGATAAGATTCTTTCCTTTGGAAAAGGCATGAAATTCCAAAGAGTTTCTACTGTTTCTAAGAAAAGAATGTTATACAATAAATACGCTGAAGTACAAGACAAATATGAATGAAGAGCCTCTGATAATCATAACACTTATATTAGGAAGATTTTAAATAATAGATTCACAGGTACTGAATATGGGTTATAAAAGCCCCCTTTTGTTCAAGCAATAGATTTGAAATTTAGCAGATTTTTAAGAATATATTTTAGCCCACCATTAACGTAATCAAAAATGTTTAAGTAGCTAACAATTTAGGAATTTAGGATATTTTAATGTCTGTGGAAAATATAACTTTCCAAAATGTACTTGCATGTTAAAGAAACAACAAAAAACATATCAAAAATAAATACCGTATTTAAGTAGTTTTTTGAGTTTTTGTACTTTTAGATAGATAACTAATCTATATTTATGAACTGTCCATTGCAAAGCCATTTTAGTATTACAAAACCCCACAGAAACCGCATGTTGACCAAAAACTGATTAACATTTCAACGCATGGCTACATCTCCGAGCCAAGGCTATGTTTTTGTTGATAATTAACTAATTATGGTCGAGGTAGGAGCCAAGATGCGTGAACATTGAAATAAATTAGTATTTCACTACAGTTGAATGTATTTGTATTAACATAACAAAAGTTAAGAATCAATCGTTAACGACACTATCTTGGAGCGGGCTGCGACGATTACTCTAGTAGATAGACATAGTAAATTTACTAAATAGGTAGTAAATCCTAGTGCTCAAAGTTTATTTAAGTGTACTATTTGAAATATATATACTCAATAATTTCAATAGTTGCAACTAGTACAATTTAACCTCTTCTACCTAAAACATTTAGACTATTAATCTAAGCCTGTCTAATATTCACATTCCAGGATGGTTTTTATTCCAGAATTGGACTCCGGCGGTCACTCGTCCAGTCCATCCATGACTTAATGAAATTCCTTCGCGTCAACTATTCTGTGTTATTGAATCTCTGATATGACTCCGGGGTTCAAGAATAATATTGGAGTCTAAACAAAATTGCATTAACTCTCATGGTTGATGGAAATACTTGAAATCTTTTATTGTGTTATGTTTGATACTACATTTAAGGCAGTAACAAAACAATGATTAACTTTTGATTACTATAAAAGAATTAAGTGGGTAAAATGTCAAAAGTTCATTTTGTAACCATTAAGGTAGATGCTATGATTTAACCAAATTTATTATATTGCTATGATACTATATCGGCCACAAACTACAGCCTAGAACCATGGTTTAATGGAAACTGCGATCTGTTTGGTAGAAGCATCAACAACAAAGGCTAATTTCCAATAATGCGATCCTAACATGAAAAGCCCTCACAATTGACTCTTCAATTAATCGAGATAATAGGCCTATCGTTGCGTGGATTAGATTTCAGATTCTAATAAATTCTGAATTTGAATTTCTTCCTACTTTGAATGGGACAAAAATTACTAGAAATTTGTTAATGGAACACTTATTCGTGTATTCATTCTGCAGAATGCTGTAGAATGCTTTAAAATATCTTATTTATTGCTTATGTGGTGAAGTAAATAAAAAAATATATATATCCTTGAAATGAATTGCTATTATGAGGAGTAATTTGCCCGTTTACTAACGATCCTATTTGGAAAAGAATAATTTAAAAGGGACAAAAATTTGTAGTAGGAAATAATCAATAGGTGTAATTTGGATCAAAAGATTTAGTGGGTTGAAAAGACCAAAAACATTGGTGGCCCAAGGCTCTAAGGGATAGATATATAGATGTATATAATGTCCCTGCAGGGATTAATCCCCTAATTTAAAATGGGTTTTCCTAGGCGCGGAGTCGGCGAGCGGAGAGAGGAACGCGGAGAGCGGAATTGAAATTCCGCTCCACTTCTAGGAAAACAGTAACATTAATTTGCCTAAGACAAGTGGAGTCCGCTCTCCGCGTTCCTCTCTACGCCCGCCGACTCCGCGCCTAGGAAAACCCGGCTTTAGACTAAAATGGATTTACCTCTGTCACAATTTAAGTATGGCAGATTCTTTAGCGAAACAAGTAGTAAAGTACATACATAATTTGAAGCATGTAAACAAATAAGGTGCTTTTAGCGAAATTCCCTTATGAGGATAAGCTATTGCCGTAGTACTCATGGTAAGACCTGGACCGGGAACCGATTTACTTTTTCATTTTGAGGTCCCTAGAGGCCAAAAACACCATCCGTTCAAATTCATATATATATATTTATATATGTGTCCGTTAGCGCGATAACTCGAGCAAAAATCATCCGATTTTGATGAAATTTGGTACAAATCAAATCAAATATATTTATTTGATATATATATACTGTATATGTTTATATATATATCAATATATATAAACATTAATATATATAAACATTAATATATATATAAACAATTATATCAATATATATAAACAATTATAATACATAAATAATATGTAATTGATATGTATAATTATTTGATATATATATATGTCGCGATCGGAAAAGCAGTTTCACTTCCCGATAGTGAGGCTGGAGATTGGAAGGAGAGGCTTTTGTCGAGGTGGCAAAACATGGTGGAAAAAAGGGAAGGTACATATTATTATTAAATAGTATAATACTTTTCGAGATAGGTTACCTATAGCCCTGCTATTGAAGTAAAACTTCTAGCCAGAAGTTTACGGCTTTGTCAATTAAAATATAATTGAGTAATGGCCAGATTTAAACTCGGTCTCCACAGCTCTCCTCTTTTTTTAAGTCTTGAATTTAAACTTGTGGCGTTATCCTCAATATAATGTCCGGTAACTAGTACAGTACCTTTAGACAAAAAACTGCTTTGTACAACATAAAAAAAACAAGAAAAAACTTTTGTCTTCAGTTCAATTCAAAGAATTTTTATTTGTTTGTAGAATAGAATACATAAATAAATAGTGACAAATACAGTTGTTAAACAAAGATTTTTTAGAATTAACAATACTTCTTATAATTCATTAAAGAATAAATAGCTTTGTGTGATGAGGTACTGATTCAATTTCATTTTGAATTTTTACTTGATTCTGTTATGCTTTTTGAAATGTTGTTATACTTTTGTTGTTGCTAAAATTTAGGTTTCTTTAATGAAAATTCCAGAATGTAAGACCTCATTGCAACGCAGCCCTGATTTCTGCTGTTATATTCATGATTATTATCAATTACCTCCATTTACTGCAATCCACCGAATTCAACCCAAATGTTTGGATGTCTGCACACCTCTACTGATGTCTGTTAGTAGATATGGTGTGGCAATACTCATCGGGACAGCACTCCCGCTGCCACCGGCGCAAACAGGTGCCCGAAAATGACCTTGCAATTCTTTGTGGAACAGCACTCCAGCTGCCACCGGCAGTAATACCTGCGGATGAAGTGGCAATACTTTGTGGAACTGCACTCCCGCTGTCACCGGCAGAAATACCTGCAAATAACCTGGCAATACTTAGTGGAACTGCAATACTTTGTGGAACTGCACTCCCGCTGTCACCGGCGCAAACAGGTGCCCGCAAATGACCTTGCAATTCTTTGTGGAACAGCACTCCCGCTGCCACCGGCAGTAATACCTGCGGATGAGGTGGCAATACTTTGTGGAACAGCACTCCCGCTGCCACCGGCGCAAACAGGTGCCCGAAAATGACCTTGCAATTCTTTGTGGAACAGCATTCCCGCTGCCACCGACAGTAATACCTGCGAATGAAGTGGCAATACTAGCGGGACAACACTCCCGCTGCCACCGGCAGTAGTACCTGCGAATGAGCTGGCAATACTTTGTGGAACTGCACTCCCGCTGTCACCGGCAGAAATACCTGCGGATGAAGTGGCAATACTTACCGGGACAACACTCCCGCTGCCACCGGCAGTAGTACCTGCGAATGAGCTGGCAATATTTTGTGGAACTGCACTCCCGCTGTCACCGGCTGAAATACCTGCGGATGAAGTGGCAATACTTACCGGGACAGCACTCCCGCTGCCACCGGCAGTAGTACCTGCGTGCGAATGACCTTGCAATACTTTGTGGAACTGCACTCCCGCTGCCACCGGCAGAAATACCTACGGATGAGCTGGCAATACTTAGCGAGACAAAACCTTAAGGTAAAAGCTTATAATACTTTTCAAGTTAGTTTATTAAAATATCATGCAATCTCTCATATTGATACTCTAGCCAAATCAGAAATTTGAATAAAAAGTATTGTTTCGAGACAACTGTTTATAGGTATAGTGATCATTTATTTGACAGTGCATTTAGTACTCTGATGTGTATTAAAACTTTCAATATTTTTTTTATAGTACATAATATGTTTATATGTTTACTTATACAAATATCAACACACAATGAAAGCTAGACCTGTGCTGCTTATGATTAAAACACACTGGATTGTGTATTTTAAATACCAGCCTTTTTAGTATATTACATAATAAAGCATAATATATTTACATATACAACACAACCACACAATGAAAGCTCCCTAGAGGACACGATCACAACAGCTGTTGTAGGCAACTCCAATCACACAATATTTATTTCCCTTGATTGCTAGAATTGCTATTGATGAACTGTCATTCTGTTATGCAGATTCAACTGCATCAGTTATTTATAGTTCGATCAGTACTAGGGCAATTCGTTTGTTCGGATTGTTTTATTTAAGTTTAGTTCAAATTTTTGTCACTTATAAACTTTTGAAAATCGTCTTTGTTATTTTCTTTTTGTAATTTCATATACATTGTACAAAGATTCATCTTCCAAATAGCAAGGGAGTTACTAAGCAATGAATTCCAACTAACCTTTTTTCATATACTTCTTTTTATTAAGTTCACATAAAAGAATTGTAGTTGATCATTTGGAAACGGAGTGTGGCAAAAACTCGAGGGATGCGTTTAAGGTGTAAGGGTGGCGAGTTTAATACCCTTCGTATTCACAAAGGTTGTACGAGTTTCAATCGGTTTAATTTCTAACATATTAAATGCAGTCGGCGTAGAAAATAAATAAAATAGGGCCACATCGTTCTTTCATCCACCTAAAATTCTTAAACGAAAATTATCAGATAAAACTTTGTTTCAATTCAAGAATTATTATTTTTTGAAAATCAATCTTATATAGATTCTAATGAGCACTGAACCAAATAGGATTTAAGTAATTTTATTCCAAATACACTGCACCATTGTGTTTTCATCTATTTACACTATTTTTTGTTTAAATTGTTAAGAGAATATGATCTTACATTGTGAATACCTTGCTGGGTGTAAAATGTTATTGCCCAACTTAGGGTCGGTGTTTAAAAGGGTAGTGAGAATAAAACCCTGCGGTCAGTCGTCCAGACACCTGTGCTGTAATGAAATTCCGCCGTCAGTGTCACTTATTGTTGTATTTACTGTCGGGTACATGTATTCAGTATGAGTGCACATTTATCAAACGGTTAGTAGACTTACTTTTTTATTTTAATGTAGCACATTTATTTTTCCTACAGTTACGGTACCTGCAGCGTTGCCCATTTTGTTTTAACCTATGTGTTTAGGGTATAGTGTTTCGAAGACTAATTATTCATATAATTGAAAGTAACTGTAGAACAAATATTATGTGTAACACGAGAGTTCATAGAGCCACTTCACACACTAGATAAAAGAATAACTATTTTCATAGCTGACAGCACCACAAGTCCTTTACAGGTGTTTTTGAGTTGGAATGTACATGTAAAATCATATGACAACTGACAACTAGCTCTTAGCACACCTGTGGAAAAAGTAAAAAGATAAATTTTTTGCCATGCAGGGATTATTATCGGCTGGACGAAAGTGCCTATATTAATCTTCCAATAAAAATCTGAGAGTTTAATAAAGACTTGTTCAGTGTGTCTTTGACAACTGTTTTTTTTATAACAACTAGCTGCTCTTCTACCAAACTCGATTATTATGTATGATAAATTCATTCTTTACTGTTCAAGGCACTAACCTATTCTAGATAAAGATTTGAACAACGTTTTAAAATTTCAACAACCAATTTCGATCATTAAACGAAAATAATTAAGTCCATTTAGTTAATGTTAGGAGAAAATACTTTCAACACATTAACGAAATTCTGCATGGCTTTGCTTTAATTCCAGAGGGAAAATTCGCTGCATTCCAAACATTTAAGTTTCATTGGCTTTAAGAGATGACATTGCGCACAATTAAATTAAGGTAAAATTTATTTAACAACAACCAGTGTATATTTGTATATAGTCTATAATAGGTAATAATAATAACTAGAGGTTGTCCACTGTCCAGTGGTCGAAAACTGGGCCAAAATTATGTATTGTACTGACTTCTCTATTTTTACCCCACACTGTACATAAAACATGTGATATGAATTTCATCAATTTTATTTTATTTTTCTGTTTATATTTAGTTTATTTCGTCACCAGCATGGCAACCCATAAGGCCATGTTATTTTTTTGTAAATAAATTTGTTGTGCTTATTTTTTAGCCTATTTTAATTTATAAAGGAATTCCCACATCTACAGAAAAGTCAGTCCTTTATAGGAGTTGATACAAGTAACTAACCAATAATAAATCAAAATTAAACTCAGAAACGTTTAATTTTTTATTTCTGTTACAAAACAATGATTTGAATATGTATATATTTGATAAGCAAAAAAAATATCCAAATCAAACGAATTGACCTGGTTCTGAACCAAATATAGATAACTGATGCAGTTGAATCTGCATAACAGAATGACAGTTCATCAATAGCAAGTCCAGCAATCAAGGGAAATAAATATTCTGTGATTGGAGTTGCCTACAACAGCTGTTGTGATCGTGTCCTCTAGGGAAGCTTTCATTGTGTTGCTGTGTTGTATCAGTAAATATATTGAACTTGCTGTTTTGTATCAAAAAATATATTGAGCTTTATTGTGTAATATATTTATAGACATTATAGGCCTAGAGGGAAGCTTTTATTGTGTGTTGCTAATGCAAACAACTTGAGTTTCACAATTGATAATCACTTATTAATTTATTCTTATAGATACCTATAATTTTTACTGAAATCATCGAACTGAATTTGTAGTATGGAATACAATTTACACCTAATACAACAAGAGAGTATGTCCAACGAAAAGCATTACTGCGTTAATTGAAGAGTCAATCGTGAGAGCTTTTCATGTTAGGATCGAATTATTGGAAATAAGCCTTTGTTTTTGAGGTCGATTGAAACTTCAAAAGTACACAAAGAGATCATGATTTGTTGAATATTGTTTTGTCATTTACAAACTTCTATTCTATTTCAGTAATTTCTACGGTGCACTTATTGTTGTGTTAAGTAATTTTACATGTATTGAACTTGATTCTGTATGAGTTGGTGACAGTGGCATTGATGGTTTAAACACTAAATTTACCAACTCTTTTTTAACTGTAACTTTTTGTTCTGTTGATCTGGATGAAATTATTCCATCAAAAAGTATTGTAGTCATGTTTCAAACTTTCTAATGCAGGAACATTTCAAAGTTTTTGGTTTCTTAATTTATTTTTGATTTATTAAATATTTATGCAGTTTCTTTTAATGTGTTTATTTAACATTTTAATTTAATCATATTTTATTATAATTATTAAACTAGTTGTGTAAGATATTTTACTGTGGAGGTTCAGTGTGGTTCACAGTCGTTTCTTTATAAAGGTTTTCCAATAATATAAAATGTGTTTATTTTTATTTGAGAATTGTAAGATAATAATCAAAATGTAAAAATCTTGTAGCTTATTTGGGAACAACTACGTATGTATAGAAACACAAGCTTCTAAACCTTTTACTAAACCATATTCTTAATTTATTAGTTAAAACTTGATTATATTTCAACTTTACCGGAAAGTTGCAGTTTTACGACCGGTTTAGAAAAGTGTATAATAAATTTAAAAATAAACTGCAGTAAAATTTCTAAATTAGATAACTATTACAATTTAGACACTTCAATGATCTGTTCTCCCTAATATGCACCGGCTTTACTTGTTTTTAGAAAATTAAATACATTAAAATATCAGTTTTGAACGTGCAAAGATTTATTTATCAATGACACTAGTAGTTCCAATTTAAGTCTATGAATTCATCATTAATCAACAGTTTATAATCTACAACATATTTGCTGAAATGCCATAGGCTTCGACATAAAATACTCATTGTGACCGTCATGGACGTAAATTCTAGCCCGGAGTTAAAACAACAGACTTTGACGTAATTATGTCCGCTAAACACAGAGTGAATAATTTTGTAACGTATGACAAACCTTCGGGATGTTATGGTACAGAATTAGCCCGTGGAACCCTTGCATATTATCATAGATTAAAAGAAGTACTCCTTTAATCTATGATATTATTAATCAGATTCAACATTTATAAAAAGTTCCATTGGTATTTTTCCGTTGTACTTTGAGTGTTCTAGAAACATGATGAATAAAAAAAAAAACATTTCCCTCATAGTGTAACAATTGGTTTGTTACAAGTTTTTTTTTTACTGTTTAAGAAAATGCTTAAAATATTATTTAAGGTAAAGTTTTGTTTTAATTTCAATTAAGCTAGTTCAGTGCTAGCAGGACAGGTTATTATTGGGTTTGGAGATAGTAAGTGAGAGAGAAAGACAGAGAGTGTGTGAGGGAGAGGGATAACTTGCTATTGATAATTGTGGGCCAAGGTAGTTCTTGCTAAGACTGAGGATGTGTTAGACTTAAATTTGTAGGTTGGCAGATGTTAGTTTTTTTTTGCTGAGTGCCTTGGCAATAGAGGTTATATATATGGGTCCCTAGCCAATGCAGAGTCTTTTTATCTTGTGCTCTTGTTCCTGAAAAGAAGTATATCTACAAGTGTTTAACCCTCAATTTGAGGTAAGAAATTTTGTGTTATTTTTAGTAGGATAGTTTTAAAACAAAAAGTTATTCCAGGAATGAATTTAAAGAGATGGAACCAGATTGACCGGATGAAAATGTGTAAATAATAGTAATTTGAGTTGAAAATATGTGAGCACATGGTTGCAAACTTGTTCTTTCAGGTCCATTTTCATTAAAAACTGCTTATTTTATTGAGCATATTGTGTTTAAAGATGTAAACACGTTTAAGATGTTGAGAAATTAGTTTGTAAAAGAAATATTAACCACTGAAATAAATAAATTATATTGAAATATGTGCAGTGTGCTGAAGTAACTATGTGGCTATATTGCATTGTCACCTATAGTCATGGACATTAAAATTCAACTTTGTTGGAAAATATAGTTTATTTCAGTAAAAGGAACAAAGTAACTGTGATTGTCAATCATTTTGGTGCTATTTATTATTTTGAAAAATGTTATGGTAATAATGTGCAGTATTGAGGTTAAATAATGTTGAGTTTACGCCATTGGCAATGAATATAAATTTTAAATAAGTGTAAACCAATGAAATTAATCAATGTATTATTTAGTCTCTGTATGGGGAACATACTAAGGAGTTAGGGAGTTAAATATTTAAATAAAATCGGAAGGCTAAGCAAGGGGAGTGTTCACAGGGTTCAATCTTGTGGAATATGGATTTCTTCCGGAAGTGCACCTTTGCTCGTCTGTCTTTGGTAACATCGACCGCTGCCTAGACTGACCTTGGACCTAGACGATACAGCCCGAGGCGAAGGATACCTTGGAAGGTGGTCTGCCAGCTGGGGAGTCGTGGTGTCGCTGGTTCCAGCAGTCCTGGTCCTGTATCGACGACTCGAGTGGCTGATGTCTACAACCTGGACGTTACCGTTCAGTTTTGTTTCAAAACTAGTTTTCGATCAGCAAAGTTCCTATCAGTCAGTCGATGCGAGCGGACCTACTATCTGTGCTCCTATCTATAGCTCTGTAGTTTCCTGATTGCCGCCCGGCGTGCCGTATCCTGTGTAAAGTGGTGGTTCGGTGACTTTAAATCTTTAACTTATTATTGTTGTCATCCATATTTTTTATTTTCATATATAAACCCGAGGTTATTATTTTTATTTATAATGGTGCTGTGCCGGAAGTGTGACTCTGATGTTCAACAAAAGGACGGGTACAAATGCACGGGGTGTCAAACGTTATACCACACTACGTGCGTCGGAGATCTCAAAACCCGTGGATCGCGTTCAAACTGGAAGTGTGAAGAGTGTGCTTTTGACAGTACATCTACGGCCAGCAAGTCCACTGCGAACCGTGACCAGGAACAGTCTGCAGTTCTTGATGCGATCGCCGCCCTTCGCACCGAAATCAACATTCGTTGGGACAAGAATGACGAGACGATGAACTTAATACGGGCTGAAGTAAGCAGTATGAGTGCAAGAGTAACTGTCGTTGAAGCGGACCTTGCCTCAGCACATACAAGTGTCAAGGAAGCTTGGCGTGAAGTGGAGAACTTGACCATAGCGAACTCAAAGTTGCGCGACGACCTGACGGCGGCGAAAAGTGAAATCAGCGAGTTGCAACAACATTCTCGAAAGAATAATGTAATGATTTACGGAGTCCCAGTGCTACCAAACGGCGCCGACCCGA